CACTGTGAAAGCCCTGCATGCCTCAGGAGCCAAAGTGGTGGCCGTGACACGCACCAATGCAGACCTGGTCAGCCTCGCCAAAGAGGTGAGGCACACAGCCCTGCCATGGCTGGGACCTCAGGGGTACATCAGAAGCTGGCTGGGACAAAGCCTCACTCAGGCCACCAAACAATGTCTCTCACAGTGTCCGGGGATAGAGCCTGTGTGCGTGGACCTGGGTGACTGGGAGGCCACCGAGAAGGCACTGCGCAATATTGGCCCCGTGGACCTGCTGGTGAACAATGCAGGGGTGGCCCTGGTGCAGCCTTTCATAGAGTCTACCAAGGAGGTGTTTGACAGGTGGGCGCTTGGGGAGCATGGGCAGGCTGGGGAGGGTCGCTGAACACTGGTGGCGCCATTGTCCCTCTCCTGCCAGGTCCTTCAATGTGAATGTGCGCTCTGTGTTGCAAGTGTCCCAGGTGAGATGGGGGGAGGACTGTGCCCAGGGAGGGACACCTGGGGAGGGTGGGATGGCACAGGGCACAGTGAGCTACCCCTAACTCTGGGCTTCCAGGTGGTAGCCAAGGGCATGATTAGCCGTGGAGTGGCAGGATCCATTGTCAATATCTCCAGCATGGTGGCCTATGTCACCTTCCCTGGCCTGACCACATACAGTGAGTGCAACCTTCATTGTGGGGGGGAGGAGGTTCTGGGTGCCTCTCCCAGAAGGAGGACTGAATAATTGGGGGGTCCTCAGCACTCCCCACCCCCCCACAGGCTCCACAAAAGGTGCACTAACCATGCTGACCAAAGCCATGGCCATGGAACTGGGGCCACACAAGGTAGGCACGGGGGCCTGGGCCCACACCTGAGGGACAGATGATGGGCACCTGGGCCAGGGCTGAGGGTTGAGGGGGAGGCTTGGGCATGCTCTCAGCTCATCAGGCTTGTCCCGGGCTAAGTCCTGAGCTGTGTGGGTAGGGCTAGTTGACTGGCTGTGCCACCCACCTGCTGTGGCTTCTGGCCCCAGATCCGGGTGAACTCTGTAAACCCTACTGTGGTGCTGACTGACATGGGCAAGAAAGTCTCTGCAAACCCAAACTTTGCCAAGAAGCTCAAGCAGCGCCACCCACTGAGGAAGTTTGCAGGTCAGCTGGGGCTGTGGGTGAGGGACTCCGTGAAGGGCACAGCAGCCCAGCAGGCAGAAGCCCTGACTGCTCTGCTGCCCCGCAGAGGTGGAGGACGTTGTCAACAGCATCCTTTTCCTGCTCAGCGACAGCAGCGCCTCGACCACTGGCTCCAGCATCCTGGTGGACGCTGGTTACCTGGCCTCCTAGACCGCCAGACGCAGTGGACCCCTGGAGGCCTCCCTGGCCCC